CAGTACTCATTCGTGTACAAAAATTGATTTTTGAGCAATATCCATCGAGGCGTGGAAGTAAGGACGACAACAAGCTTGTCAAGGATAGCAACAACTTCATAGTTCTTGTAATCCCAAGAGCGGTTGGGAACTCGACAAATTGCTATCTTCCATAGACGATAGTTACCATGATCGTATTTAAACATACGTAGATCATCTGTGTGCTCAACCTCAGGGCATTCTGTGATTTTTGGAAGTGGAACCCAGTGACAAGTGTACACATTCACAAATTCCCACTCTCCGTTATACCCAATATATACAACCCAATCTCCATTTGCGCATGCCCAAGCCTTACCCTCAAGCGATAGCATCTTAACATCACACGTATCATTATCAAGCGGCATCAACTTGCACAAGGCGATGCTTCTGTCATCCCCATGCTGACGACCAGCGTCATGGTGAAGAAGATAGGGGAGATCAAACCGCTCTTGAACCCTTGGGTTCTTTGCAATTATGTTATTTGTTCAGTCGAGAATGGACTTGAACGAACCTGCGATGCTAGCCGAGGTGATGACGTCGCACCGATCAATGAGTTCCTCCACCACGTCATCTTTCAGATCGGGGCAAGAATAGCGGGGTCGTTTCCGGCCTATTCCCTCCATGGAGAGGACGATCGAACAATGGCGGCAGGAATGGTGAAGGAAAATGGAGGGAAAGGCGAAGGGGCGGTGGACGGTTGCCACAGTACAAGAAAAGGCTAGTGGGGAGCGAACGGTTGCCACAGAGGTCACACACTGATGACAAGGCCTAGTGAACCACATGCCGTATATCGCACACACCTTGATTTGGCTGACCGTTTCTTTTGTGTTGCCCAATCACAAACAGTTCATCCGAGTGAACCGTATGTTGTATATCGCACACATCTTCATCTGGCTGTCCGTTTCTTTTGTTCCTCCTCATCGCAAACAGTTCATTGAACTGAACCGTATGCCCTGCATTGCACACGCAACTAAAATCTGAACCGTGTTTGATGCATCCCCCATCGTAAACGTTTTGCATCTTTTTTTACGGTTTTTTTACATCCCCGTTTGTGACTAATATTAATGCATCGCACACAATTTTGTGAAAGAGTCTTTGATCGTAGTGTCGTGTTAGTAGCATTCTGCAGTAGTGATAGCATGGATAATAAATGATTATCATGAACAAGGAAATATAATAATAACCACTTTATTATTGCCACTCGGGCATATTTCCAGCATTAAGATGCATGTTGGATAGCGGCCGAGGGTGGAGTAATAGTAGTAGATGCAAAATCGTTTCGGTTTACTTGTCACGGACGTAATGCATATGTACTGATAATGTCATGAATAACATCATAACTATGCGCTATTCTATCAACTACCCAATCGTAATTTGTGTACCCACCGTTTTGCTATGTTCTTGAGAGAGATGTCTCTAGTGAAAGCCATGACCCCCGGATCTATTTAAATCATATTACTAAAACCTTAAATACACAACTCCAATTTATTTACTTTTATTTTTTTGCAATTTATATAATTCCTACCATCATATTTGATCCTTACAAATAACGAGTACAATGGGGAATGCCAACCCTCTTGCCCATGTTGGGTGCAAGTATTTGCTCTTGCGTGTGTAGGTACCGCTAAAGGTCGTTTGTGCGAATCTCCTATTGACTCGATAACCTTTGGTATTTAATGGGGGAAATACTTTCTACTGCTATAATACTTCGCCCTTCCTCTTCGGGGGAACCTCAATGCCTATCATAAGTAGCAACCGGCCAGGGCACGAGAAGGAGGCACGGGAGGGATTTGGTCACTGGTCGGGGGAGAAGGAGCCTGCCTGAAAGGCATGGAAGGAGAGAAGGAGATGGAGGGAGTCGCCCTGCCACCGTCGCGGCCGGCCGGAGGCCGCTGATGACGGCGACGAGGGAGAGGAGCGCTGAGGCGCGGTTGTTCGGAGAGCGGTGTCAGCCGCCTCGCGAGTCACAGGAGCGACCCACCAGATGCATGGGGGCAATAAGAAAATATCTGATGGTGAGGTTAGTCATAGGAATTACTTCGTATTTTCGAATCGTTGTACATGAAATTATTTTGATTATGAGTATCAATAAAATTACAAGTGTTTCTCAAAAACATATAGCTAAAGTGCTAAAAATGGAAAAGTATTAATTTTCACTTACTGATTACCCAGGAAATCAGCCACGCGCTGCGCGCTCCATGCGTCCCTGTGGGACCGACCCACTGCCTGTCGCAACCTTATCTCTTTGCGGTCCTGAGCCACCCGTTTATTTCTTTTCGTCTCCCCTGCGTCTCCTACCTGTGACGCACTCTCACATGCCCACTCCTCTTCCTCTTGGTTCTCTCTAGCAGCCAGGCCGCCGATCACCGAAGCTTCCACTGCCGTGCGCTACTACCACCGGCTATTGCACGGACTCATCATCCCCATCGTTGCCGTTGCAAAGACCATGGCGCCCCTACAAATCTTGTCGGCGGCGGGTGCTGCAACGCAATGTCCCTCATGGTGGTGACTGCGGGCGCTTCCGTGCGTAGTTCTCGTCAGCGGTGGCACCTGCTGCAACGCTACGTCCCTTGACAGCCAACGCTGCAACCACATCCCGCCGGTAGCGGGCGCTGCGTTGAAGCTTTCGTCGCACCCAGTACTGCCATGGAGCATCACACGGTGGCCCCCGCTGCTGCGATGCAGCGGTCGCTGGTGCTACAATGAAATGACGATGACAATGTTGCGTGTGCTGTGAGGTGTCCTCAAGTGCATGCTGCAAGGCAAGGCCAGGAGGCATCACCGCTGTGTCGGTGCTGCAATGCAGCACGCACGTCGGTGCGTTGAAGCTGTCAGTGCTGTGTTGGAGTTCTGCCGGAATTGCATTGGAGCTTCACCGGAGCCGTCGGTGCCGCGTTGGAGCTCTGTCGGTGCTGCATACGGTCGCCGGTGTGGTCGTCGGTGTTGCGATGCAGCATCGTCGGGGCTATGGAGGTGATGCGACGAGGAGAGACAAGGTCAAGGGAGGTCCTTGTGAATGTGTGGCAAGAGGAGGAAGACGGGCTTCGAAACCTATGATCGAATGGCCCGGTGCGCCTAATCAGACGGCTCCTGAGGGGGATGATTTTTTGCAAGGTAAACGTTTGGCTGCGGCGCACCGGCCGAACGCTCGGCCGGTCGCGAGCCACCACGTCCGTGCCACGTGGCCACAGGGCCCGCACACACCCATCCTTTTATATCTCAACCACCTGTGTCTTATCCTTTCATCCCCTGCTCGCCTCTCTCCTCAGCATCTCTCGCACATATCCATTCCCCACTCACCTCTCTCCACGAGCCTGGCTCCGGCCAGTGCTGCGGTTTCTCCGGCGAGGCCCCCGCCGGCGAGACATCCCCTGCTCCTCTCTTCACCTCTGCTCGTCAGCCCTCCTCTTCCTGCTCCCCGATGCCCCCGTCTGATGGACCACGGGTTGGCGCTTGGCGGAGGGGGAAGCATGCCGGGGATCTGCACCTGGTGGATGGGAACAGCTGCAACCGGCCTGGCCGGGAGCTGCAACCGGTCTCGCCGGGAGCTGCGACGGGTGGGTGACCACGACCACGGGCAGGCAACGGGCTGGATGGCCGTGCCCAGACAAGTGCTACAACCACGGCGACCAGATGTTCGAACCAGCTCCTAATTGTGCTACTACAGGCGTTTTGATTTGATGGAACAATCGTCAATTTTTCAGTTTTTTGCTACCACCGTAATATGTATTTGCTGGAACCATCAACATTTTTTGCTACCATCGTTTTTTTGGTTTTGCTGGAATTATGCCCAATTTTACTCTTTTTGCTACCACCATAACATTTTTTTGCTGGAACCATCAACGTTTTTTGCTACCATCGTTTTTTTGGTTATGCTGGAATCATGCCCAATTTACTCTTTTTACTACCACCATAATATTTGTTCGCTGGAACCATCAACATTTTTTGCTACCATCGTTTTTTTGGTTTTGCTCGAAGCATGCCC